CCTGAACACCACCCCCACCGGGCAGGTGTAGCTGGCTCCGCAACTGCGGCCAAATGCTGCGAGCTGCTCAGGCGGGATGTCAAACAGGCCGCACAAGAACCGCACATCATTTTTATGGATGGAAGCAACCGCGTCCTTGAAGAAACCTGGCTGCCACGCTGTTTGTTCTGTTTGCGTGATCTTCTGTTGGAGACGTTCGGTGACTGCGTGTCTGGACACGACGGCAAAACGGATCACCGCGGCAGGATTCATGTCGGAGCCCTTCAGGCGAAAGCGCAGGATCGTGACGGCGTGGGTGGCCCCAACAACATGACCCGCAACTGCGGTCTCTGCGATGATGTGCGGGCGCACGAGCACCACGCCCGTGTCTCTGAACAGGCCAACCGTCGTCCAGTAAGGCTCCGCGGTGTTGTTTTTCAAAGTGACAGCGTCTTCGACGGCAGTCCTGAGTCCAACGGGAACGTCGTAGCTGCAAGCGCCTTCGACGTTCCCCGTGCGGAACAGCTCGGGGTCCCATACGACGAAGACGACCGCCGCAGTTTGGTGCAAGATGCACCTGAAGACATCTTCCTTTGTTGCCACCTTCGTGATGACCACCACGTTGAACACCAAAGCGATGGTGGACGGAACCCGATTGCCGTCTTCTGTACGAAGGAATCCTTCGTTCCACTTGGGGCGTTCCCCAAAGTAGTTTATCCCTGGAGGGGGCCTGGTCCGCTGCTTCTTCCGCGGTGCTCCCGCATCTTCCCGCAACTGCGGTTCCGACGGAGGCCCCGCGCGACCCCGCGACTGCGGTTCTGACAGCGGCGAGTCTTCCGTGGGAGGCGGCCTTTTCCTCGGCCGCGAATCGGCCGAGGCGGTTGTCTCGGCGGCTTTCTCCTGGGAGGCGGCCTCGTCTTCGGGTTGGGCGCCTCGTTTGGACTCGGCTGCGAGCAGCACGGCCGAGGGCGCGCTGCTCCCAGATGAGCCGCGCGCGGCACCTGGCTCGCCGGCCACCCCCGCAACTGCGGTCTCGGTGGCGGCTCCCGTCACTGCTGGTTGGTCCTGCTGCTTCGTCGGCGTCTGCGCCCGAGGCCCCCATTTTGCCTTGGGGGTCAAGTGCGCCCTGCGCAACTGCGCCTCTTCGCGCCTCCCACCAGCAGAGCTCCCACTCGCAGCGCTTATCGGCGGCGGCGGCCGATATTCCCGCGAGGAGCTAGACGACTGCGGGGAGGCCTCGCGCGGCGGTCGCTCGGGGCTTCCGCTACTGCGGTCCTCCGTCGGCTCCGCGACTGCGGCATCCGCGGCAGCCCCTTGCAGGCCGAACCTTTCCCGCAGTTGCTGCTTCAGCTCGGCGAACCGCTTGTCGACCTCGGCTTTGCGACCTGGGTCCATGGCGTGGCCGCGCGCGGCCCCCGTCCGACGGGGGAACTGCGGCCGGCTTGGGAGAGGAAGGGCAACGAGGGAGACGGCGGGGATGAGGACGAGGAAGGCGAAGAGGAGGATGGAGAGGACGCGACGGAAGAGGATGGCGCGAAGAGCTCAGACGAGGGTGAAAGGAGCAAGGGGACTGCGACGAGGATGACGGGGCAGAAACGGAGGAGGAGGAATCAACAAAGTCCGCAACTGCGGCCCTCGGGGGGGACTGCGACGAGGACGACGGGAAATGACTCGGCCAACGGAGGCGGGCTACGGCCAACGGAAGGAACTGCGACGAGGAGGAAAGGCGGAGGGAGGAGACTGCGACGAGGACGACGGGGAAGGGGCGACGAGGACGACGAACAACTGCGGATCCATCTGTTTAAGTACCTGTCTCCGCAACTGCGGCCGCGCTAATTAACGTCACGAGTGCTTCAACGGAGGTGATGCGCGCCCGAAGCACCTAATTACAGCGGTCAGTCGTGGGAGCGCCGCAACTGCGGCCAAGCTGTATGAAGTCGCTAGAAGGCAGCGCCGCAACTGCGGCCGAAAGCGCGCATAGTGAGTCAAACGAGCGCGGCGTCACGCGATCGGTCCCCGCAACTGCGGTTCCATGGCTGCGCAATCCCGCAACTGCGGTGTCAAGGCTGCGCGGACCACCGCGGTTGCAGCTGCGCCCCCTTGCTCGCGTCGAACCGCCCAGGATTCGGATGGGCGTGCAGCATCTTCCAGAACGTGAACGTTCCGTGGCCATCGCTCTTGCCGAGACCTGCCCTCGGGCCCCGCACGGGATGCGAGTGCGGCTCCACCTCATACGTGTTGAACTTCGGGCTAGACCAGGATGGGTGGACGCGAATGCCCGAGCCGTCGTCGCGGATGAGGACGAAATCCCACTGGGGCAGAGGGATTCTTTGCGCCTGTCCTCTGTCCACCCCTTTCGTGTGCCTCATGTTGTCGAGACTGCTAGGGCACGGGCGGCACTCGCAGCGGACCAACCCGCGACTGCGGTCATTGTCAGGGCCGCACACGACGCGCAGCATTGTAGGTCCATCCATCTGCGCGACCATCTCCAGCCAAGACCACGGCACTTTGACAGTGTGGTCCCAGTCCCAATCCCTGTTGTCCTGCGCCTTCCCCTTTGCGCGGTACTTAAGGATCTTCGAAATTTCCTCCGCAACTGCGGTACCTCCGAAGACGGGCGTGCGGCTGCCGAAAGGGTTTTCTCGGTCTTCGTACTCGTCTCGGAACCACTTCAAGGCCGCGTTGTGCTGCTTATAATTGCCGTTCCAGTTCGCCCTGAAGTTCTCGAAGAATTCCAACTTGAAAATTGGCAGCGGCTCATTGCGCACAATTTGAAACAGCGCAACTGCGCCTTGTTCTTCGCGCCCTGGGGGAAGCAGGGGACCGCCTCCTTTGCCCGCCGCTGTTGCGGCCGCGGGCTCCGCGGCAGGAGAACCTGCCGAGGCACTCGAGCGGCCACCTTCCCATGCATTCCACCAGCCACCCTCGTCGTCCCACCAGCGGGCGCCCTCCATTCCCCAACCCTCGCATCCGTTGCCGCCCCATCCGCCGCCCTCCCATCCGCGACTGCGGTCACTTCCGTCGCCGCCATCCTGCGCTTTTCCTCTCCATCCGCCAAGAGAATCTCCGCCGCCCCAGCCGCCACTGCGGTCACCTCCGCCGCCGTATCCGCCACTGCGGCCGCCCCAACCCCCACTTGTTCCCCAACCGCCGCCGCTGCTCTTTGAAGAATCCGCAACTGCGGCCCGTGTTTCCTCTTCCGCTTTGTCATCCCACCCTGCACGCATCTCTGCCCCGACTGCAGGCCGCGGAGGCGGGCGCGAGCCCGCCCAACCGCCGTGAAACCTACCGTCGGCGCGGGCTTGAGCCGAACGTGCATGGAGGAGGAGGATGAGGAGGAGGAGGGTGAATGTGAGGAGGATGATGCGTTCCTGGGAGGTGTGCCTTCGCGTGCAACACAAGAGCCCTGAGAATTCCTGAGGCCCCTCCAACAGCCAAGGACGCGGATGACAAGAAAGTCGAGAAGATTGGGAACCGATTGAGGATTAAGAGGCGTGCGACGAAAGGGATGATGATGACGAAGAGGAAGATCAGTGAAGGGGAGGAGCGGACAGGAATTATGGAGGAGTGATAGCAGAGGAGGAAGAGGGGGAAGGGGGAGGAGGAGGAGGAGGAGGAGGAGGGAGAGGAAAAGGGGGAGGAGGAGGAGGAGGAAGAAGGTGAGGAGGAGGAGGAGGAGGAGGAGGAGGAGGAAGAGGAGGAGGAGGAGGAGGAGGAGGAAGAGGAGGAGGACGACGACGACGAGGAGGAGGAGGAGGAGGAGAGGGAGAAGGAGAACGGGGACAGGAGGACAAGGACGGAGAAATATAACAAATGAGGGGGAGGAGGCGGAGGAGGAGGAGGACGAGGAGGAGAAGCAGGAAGAGGAGGAGGAGAGGGGGGAGGAAGAGTGCGCGTGAGACTGGGAGAACGAGGTAATTAATTAGAGAGGGAACGGGGGAGGAGGGAGGACAAGGAAGAGCATACAGCGACGAGAAGAGGAGAAGGAACAGACGAAGGCTCCTGCTGATCGCATTTCCGCATCGTTCAAAGCAGTGCCGGGGCACTGCTTTGAACGACTGGTGATGTTCAAAGCAGTTCCCCGGCACTGTGTTCCATCGTCGCCGTTATAAGGGCTATTGGATTAGGTCTCTGCTCGCATGTCCTTTTGCTTGCCTGATGTCCCGGCCTAAGCATGCGTCTCAGCATTGATGTCGCGACGCCTTGATGTAGCTGCCTGGTTGAGCTCCTGCACCTCAAGAGTAGACAGGCGACATGTTTTGAACATCGTGTGCGGAAACATCTGAGACAGTGGTACCCTTTTGCTTCTTTGGCCGCAGTACACTGGAGCTCTCGACTGCACGGTTCAGCCCTCTGTCACCAGCTGGATTCGTTTCGTTAGCGAGTTGCCGTCGAATCCCAGGGCGACAACCTTTACATTTAATCATACTCTGGCCCGAGCCAAAACGGCTACAACGATGATCATGAATGGAAGTTGAGACGGGTTGGACATTGCGATGGTGGCGTTGCGTTGGTGAGGTTCGGATTATTTCAACAAGGCTCAACTCGGACATGCGAGAGTGAAGTTTCGTTTTTGATACTCCGATCCTCTGGAGATACCCTCTTGGGGTTGAAAATTCGTCTTGGAGAACCCCCCCTTTCAATCTTGACAGAAACAAGGGGCTAAAAGATAATCGCGTGCAAGCGCTCCCATGGCCTCGGAAAGCGTAGCGGATAGAGGAGGAGGAAGAGGAAATTGAAGACAGGAGTTTTGCCAACGCCCCTTTTTCCAAGCCAGTGTTGGATGTTTTGGAGGGGGACCTTGCTACACGGAGGAATCAGACGATTAATGCGTCTGTCTGGAGTTGCTGTACAAGTGTGTTTCAAAACGCGTATGAACAGGAAAACAGGACGGAGGAGCAGGATAACAGGACGGAGGTGGTTTCCCCCTGACTTCCTTGCTGGAACGTTGCTGCGCGTCGCAGCCCCGAGGTCTATCTGCGCTCGGCCGTCCAGCGCATCTGAAATGCCCAGCACCGAGCTTACTTCATCTTCGAAGACTGCTCAAACACGTCCTTGGCGAACTGCTATAAGTTTGCACACGCGTCCGCCACCGTCCTCTCAATCTGCACCGCGCTGGCACTGATGTCGGAGGGACTCAGCGTTGTCGTATCCGCATCATTTGCCTCGCTGTGCTCCACAAAAAACTTCTCGATGGTGACCTGCTGAGCTGCCGTCTCGTTCTGAAGCCTGTCGCCTCATTGCCCCCCATGTCTTGGACTCGAGCTTCTTTTGGATGAGCGTCACGTCGTTCAGGTCCTTGCAGATGCGATCCACCGTCGACTTCATGGACTTGGCAGCTTTGTCGTACTATTCCTTGGCTTCCTTGTGCTCCTTCTGCTCGAGCGTCGGGGGGGCCTCTGGAGCGGATGGGTTCCTCCTGGTGCGCTTTGGAGCGGGATGGGGTCTTGCCCAGCATACTTTTGGCAAGACCCGCCCGCATGTGTTGCAGTGTTTCCGTATACTGGTCAGCTGACATCGTGGCATCAGCATTCAATTCGGCCTTGTCGACCGTGCCCGTGGAGCTGATCTCCTTTGTCTTGTGCACCCTGCACTGCTTGACGCAGGCCGCCGCCGGCAATGTGCTTTCATGTGCTCGTTCCTGCAGGTTCACCGCTATCTTCGCATGCGCTGCGTTGTTGAGCCACAGGGGGCCAGCATACTTGGCCTTGGTAACCCATTCAGCTGTCTGCTCATCTGCATTCGGCGTGACCTTTCTCCGTCGTATTGGTTGAACTCGCTCGTACTTGCACTCTCGAGGTCGATGACGTCGCTGACGAGAAACGCCCTGCGCTCGACGCCGTTCTTGCAACGCTCGTGCTTCGAGAGGGCCTCCGCGTCGTTGGCCTTGAGGTCGCCCTTCATGGCAGAGATGCTCCTGTACCACAGCGTCGCGATCTCCGTGCACCGGAGATTCTCCTCGCTGAGGCTTTTGCTGTCTTGCGTCAGGAGGGCTTTGAGATCGACGCAGGCCACGCAGGCCTAGGGCAGCTCCTTCATAGATTTCTAGAAGCCGATGGTTTTGCCACTTACGAAGTTGAGTCGATACCTGTGCAGGCTGCAACTCTCGTTCCAAAAACTGCCAAGGCGATGCAAACAAGCTTCTCGGCACCAAATTCGAACAATGTAAGCCCAAGTGGTTGGACCGAACTCTTTGAACTGCTCTGTTATTGTCCTTCGAATCCGAACTAGAATAGTAAACTCTAAGCACACTGCAATGTTGGGTATGTCCACAACTCGGTAAAGCTGATTTCTAGCGTTTCGTGCGCCGCCCTGGGCGCCTTGACGCACCGATCTGGCACGCCAAAAACATCAGGAGGAGGAGGGCGAGGACGAGGAGGAGGAGGAGGGTGAGGACGAGGACGAAGGCACGGACGGCGTCGAGGACACGAGGAGGACGAGGAGGAATTCGAAAGATCACGAGGACGAAATGCAGAGGAGAAGGACTGGGGGAGAGCGTGGGAGATGAGGAAAGCAGAACTTTCGCTGCCTTCGACACAATCGACGTCGCCGTCGCCGACGCCTTCGCCGTCGTCGACGCAGTCGACACCATCGACGTCGCAGTCGTCTCCGCTCCTTCCCTACTCGTTTCTTCCCTCTTCTATCCCTCATCCATTCCTGCCTCCCCCTATCATCCATCCTCGCCGACCTCGCCGGCGTCCTGTCCAGCGTCCTCGGCGGCGTCGCGAACGCTGGGTCGCCCGTGGGAAGACGTGGGAGGAGGAGGAGGAGGAGGAGGAGGAGGAGGAGGAGGAGGAGGACGTTTCCACTCGCACTCCAGCACCGAGGGCCCCTCCCAAGGCGTCTGGGATTGTCCGTGTCCGCGCACGTCTCGAGCGCACCCCGACGCAACTCGGGCCCTGGCCTAGTGCCCAGGGCCTAGCACGTGCTGGGGGCAGTCGGCTAGAGAGGTTTATCCAGACTGCCCCCATCCCTCGAAAGAAAAAAGGCACATGAGGCAGAGTCCGTCGTCTCCTCCGAGTCCTTCTCCTCCCATTCCTCTCCTCCTTCACCTCCTCAACTCCTCTTCTCCTCACCTCTTGCTCTCATCTCCTCCACTCCTCCTCTCCCCCTCCTATCATCATTCATTGTTTCCTCCTCATCTCATCCTCAACCTCTTCTGCTCCTCCTTCTTATCCTCCTCCTCCTCCGCCTCCTCATCTCGCAGACCGCACACCTACTTAAGCAGGTGTGCGTACTCGTTCCTAGAGAGATTCTTGGTCCCAGGAATCTTCTCGGCGGCGGCCGAACTCGCCGCCTGCTCTCCCTGACCGTCGGCGGCAGCGTGGCTGGCCTTCTTGGAGTTGGCCAGCGCGTTGCCACCGAGCAGCGCCGACGCTCCCGCAGCATCGGTTGCTGTCTGGTTTGCCTGGGCGTGGGAGGGTGGGCGTCCTCATCCTCTTCCCCCGCCTTGTGTTTTTCATAAACATCCTCCTTTGTCTTCCTCATCGTTGTTGCTGCTGCCGCTCAGCGCCGCTGAGCGGCAGCAGCAACAACGAGCCCTCAGCGGCCTCAGATCTGACGCCGCTGAGCCTCAGCGGCGTCAGATCCTCTCCCGCCTTGTTTGATGTATAGCAGGCTCGAGGCTCGTGGTGTTGACGACACCCCTGAACTGCCTGGCCACGGGCGGTAGGCTTGACCTTCTCGTCGGGGAGGAGGTAGCGCCACAGCTCGACTGGAGGGTTCGAGCTCGCACCAGAAGCAACTAGGCATGGCAGGCACGCGCGGCACTCCTTGATGTTGCCAACGTGCAACCAGCTAGGCAAGTCGAACACGACATTCTGAAACGCAACCGTCAGCGGTGCCTGCGGTAGCTCGGGTGACTTAACAGGAGGAGGGGGTTTGGCCTTGGACTTCCTCTTGGGCGCGGCTGTGGTGGTAGCCGTCGTCGCGTCAATCGCGGTGACCATCCACGCCGGGATCGGGCAGTCGCTCACGATGCCGTGCTGCGTCTCATCGTACCCTACGTACAACGGGATCTGGATCATCGTATCGGAGCCGCTCTCGCATGCGGCCATGACATTGTCTGCGGTCAGCTCCTTGGAGTTAGAGACATCGACCCCACAAATAGTCATGATGTGGAAGGATTGTTTCATTGTAGGGGTGGTCGTCACAGTACCTGCAAAGAACATCTTCGGGGCCCAAGTGTCCTCAGGCAGGTCAGTAGTAGACTCCTTGACAATCTTCTTTTCGCTCACCATTTTGATTGAACTGATGCCAGAATTGCTACCCTTTTTCGAAACTGATGAAGCAAACGTAACATCGATACGGCACGATGACTCACTCTTGCAGTTAGGGGCGAATGCGAGGTTGAACAGCTGGCCCTCGACAGCCAGGCAAACCTGCTTCACAAAGGCGGCTGTCACCTCACGAGCTGGAACCTTGAAGATACCAAACTTCTCAATATTGCCAGCATTCTTGGCGACCTGAGTGGAACGGAGAGCTGATCCAGTTGGCCCATCGCCAGCGTCAGCGTAGAGGGACGAGTCCTGGTAGCGAATCACCTCGCCAAGAGTGCCCAAAGTAGTAAGACCAGGACCACCACCGCTCGCGGGGCAAGACTGCTTAGGCTCACTCGCAGTGCCTGCGGCGACAATTGCATCAGAGGCAGCCACAGCCTCGACCGCGCCTGCATTCTCAACTTCCTTGTCGAAGGCCTCTTGGGCAGCCTGCGACGCCTGCTGCACTCCCCAGAGAGTTTGTGCTGCCACGCAAATGTCGTTAATGATTGTGTCCAGCTGTTCAGACTCCGCCGTGACCGACTTGTGCAAGACAGCCTCGAATAACAGACTGCAGGTTGAATTCCATGTGTTCTGCCATTTATCACGCCCCAGGCCAATACACCGACAGTCCATATGAAATAGGACAGACTTCGACTGGCTCTCTTGCTTCAGGATCTGGACTGCCGTAGAGACCTTTTCCTTCGGAATCGCAGCTGAATTGACAGTCCAGACAATCCCGCGGGACTGGCACCGAATAAGCAATGCTGTCATAAGCTCGATGACGCACTTCCCGCGGCACAGAAGGTAATTCTCGATGGAGATCATATCTGGAAATATAGCAGTGGCTGCCTGGGACCACTGAAACATCATTAGCAACGTAGCGACGTAGCAACACCAACAATAGTACAACACAACAGAAAACTATGTCGAAACAACTTTCAGCTGAAGACGCTGAAGACAGAAAAGCATGCAGCAGGAGAATGGGAGAAGGAAGCGATACCTCCGGGACGACGAAATCACCGTACTGCTCAGGGTTAGCCCAAACGACAGCGAGATCTTTCGCTGGGATGAGGAACTTGTCTCCAAGAGCTGCGCAGTCCTGGCTACACTGGCTGAAACCCTCCATAACCCAAGTCATCACAGAGCCAACGTCCAACAGGTGTGGCTTATCCTTATCCTTCTTGGTTGGCATGGATGCCTTGGCATACGACTCGAACGATTTCCAGGCAGCAGTCATCAGCGCCGCGAAGCATGGTAAGTGGTTCACAAACATGTCGACCTCGCAGGGATTGTTGCTCAAGAAATCTGAGATATGTTCGGTGAAGGTGTCATCCGAGAAGACCGAATTCAATTGCTTCTCTGCACTGTTGAGCTTCGATTCGTCAGACATGGCAGCGCACCCAGCATCCACGGTACTCTTCGACGCGCACCGGCTAGAGAGCACAATCTGCGCGGCAGTTTTCTTGGCCTCAGCACGCACAGCAGACCATCCAGACAGGGTTTTCTTCAACTCGTTGAAAGTCACCTCAATGAAAGCGAAAGATCAACGAGCACTTACTTACATACTGTCCGATCTGATCGGTCCTGGGCAGACACGAGTTCACACGCGGCTGAGCTGAGCGACATCGCATCGTGGCTCAATGACACATCCTCCTCATCATCCTCCTCCTCCTCCCCTATCACATCCCCGACTTATCCTCCTCCCGCTCCTCGTCCCCCATCCTTTTCCTCCCTAATCCTGCTCCTTCTGGGGATCAACGGCTCAAGCTGGGAGCGTCTCGTGGCCCTCCCAGCTCCACGCACATTCCAAGCTGATGCGGATGAACGTCCGTTTCGCCTCTGGGTGGGCAGTCGCGAGAGATTTTCTGAATCTGAGGCATGACATGACATAGCAGTAGCACTAGCACTAGCACTGGTAGGGGAAGGTAGTTACTGTGGGAGAGCAGGTTATGTTCCAGGCTCCTTGTCAACAGCTTGCACGGTGGACGGGTCTTTCCTCTGCTCGTCTCCGTGGAAAGCGGCCGATCCAAGGCCATCGTCGATGGCCGCTGACATCCCGACCCACATGTCCTCGAACCACGTGATTGGCATATCTTTGGCGGTCTTGAGAGCCTTAACCGTCTCCATATGCTTCATCTCCACTGCGGTGGTGGTCGAAGCCTTCTTGCCGCCTCCTCTCCTTCGGGATGCCGCGGGCACAACTGCTTGCTCATCCTTCTTGTCGCCGTCGGTCAGTGCTGCCTCCTCGTCAGGTTGTTGCTCGGACTGCTCAGTCGGCTCCTCTTTCGCCTCTGCGAACAAACGTTCGATCCCACCTGCACCAGCCTTCGTCTTCTTCCCGGCATTGCGCCCAGAAGCAGCACCAGCAGGTTTCGTCATTGATTGCGCAGCGCAGATGGCATCATTGATAACATCTATCTTCTGTTGGCGTCTGATGGCTTCTTTGTACACCTTCCCAGTCTTGATGTCCACCGTCAGGATCTTGAGCTTGGCGTTGGCCTCGGCGCCATCTCGCAGTAGCCAGTCAGTGTTCGTAGCATACTTGTCAAGGCCAGTGGTCCACACACTAGTATCCTTCTTATCAAGTTTGGCTTTCTTGGGATTCGAAGTGGAGCAGCAATCCTCGAGGTCCGCCTTGCGACGCTTATTGTATATCGTAACCACCGTGAACTTGCACATCTCTTCCAGCACCATCCGGCAGTCAGACAGCGACAGAGAGACCAAGCCAGCTTGAAGTAGTCCGCTCTTGGCGTTGCTGAGTGACGTTACGAATGACGCAATGCTGCGTAGCGCTGAGAGGACCTTGGACATCGTGAGCTGACCATCGTCGAACACAGCGTTATCCATGAACCACTTGCGCACTTGAGTCCAGTTGTCGAACTTGTCCTTGCTGAAACAGTTGACGATGTAGCAGTAGCTCTCGAACTGCGTGGAGGACGTGACCATGCCGAGCCTGATCTCCGTCTTGAAGTGCTCCGAAACGAACGCCCATGCTTTCTGACGGTAGCTCTCGTCATCGGTAGCGGGGCCCCGCGAAGTGATCCCATTCGCGAAGCAGTGCGCGCGCCATTCAGCTTGCATTTTGAACACGCACTCCAGGATCTCAACAATCTGGATGACTTGCTGCTGGCCGAATGTGTAGTTCATGAAGGTTTTGACCCATGACACGACGTCGTCGGGAGTCGAGAACTGAAACACGATCACTCGAGAAAGCCCCTTCCTGAAAGCGGCCTTGACGTTCGTATTGTTTGGGTTGCGTTCAAGAGCAAGGTAGAACGCTGTCGACAAGTGGCCAAACGTGAACAGATTGTAAGGGGGAGAATCGCCAGCCGATAGTGTTGCCATAGGCACTCCACGTGCCTCCTCGCAGACTCCGAATTTGAAGATGTTCTCAACCTGCTTTTCCAAGGTGGCCTGAGACTCTCGATCGTTCAACTTATGCCTCACAAAATTTCTGCGCCCATTCCCGTCGAACCACGGGATCGTTGCATTGGGCATAGTCTGTACCTGAGTGGATAACACACGACCTCATACCTCCTGCCTCCTCTCGCCCCCCTCCCCTGCCTCAGAAGTCTCCGAACTGCCCAAAATGGAAAACGGCGGATGCGCGATAGCTTTTGATCTGGGGTGGCGTTTGCTTCTGACGCGTGGGCACCCCCCAAGTCCGTTTGCAGAAGTCCATCCTGACTGATCCCTCCATGTTGGGCAACCTGACATCTATATCCTTGATGTTGGGATCATGTAGGCGAGTCAGGGCATGGCGTGGTGGGCTGGTAACACCGATGGACACAACGCTATCAGAAGACATCTGTTCCTCCACCTCATGCGGTGGAAGCGGCAGAGAACCACTCGAAGTTGCCATGCCGCCACACGTAGTCTGTCAATTCTGAAGTAGATCACCCAAAAGAAGTTAACCGTGGCCAGGGTACTGCTTGACGCTGGACGCGGCTACGGTGTGCACACAGTTCCCATGAGACCCAACGATCGAAAAGAAAACTCGTCTCGCCCTAATCCTCCTCCTCATCCTACTCCTCCTCCTCATCCTCCTTCTCATCCTCCTTCCAAGAGGCCCGAAGATCGACGCAAAACGGTATCCTCCTCATCATCCTCATCATCCTTTCAGCCTCTGGTGTTTTGTGTTTTGCAGTTGTGTGTAGGCGCATGGACGAACGCGCATTGAATAATGTCTGCGCATGCTTCTGTTTGCACGATGGCATATGCGTACGTACGTTGGCATGTGGAATTGCTATGCGTGCGTACATAAGTGCGTGTGCACATGTAGCACAGTGTAGAACGTAGTATGTGTTGTAACTTCATAGTTGTTTTGTGTTGTCATTTAGTTGGGCCCAGCAAAACGCACAACGTTCAGATATTCCTGGCGCACGTATCTTACATACAGTCGGCACAGTCAGATCCTCGCCAGAGTCGAACAATCGAGTCAAGCATTGACTCCAGCAAGCGAAAAAAACGAGCTGCTAGATACTGTATCTGCGCAGAATATGGCGTGGCACAGCACGATACCGACAACGTTCACATGCATTGTGTTCCCCAACTGCTTGCACACCCTTGTCCTCAGGTGTTTTGACTGGAGCTCTCGGAGGCGATCGGAAGTGAAACTGCACGAGTCCTTGAACGGGTCATGGTCTGCAGACGCCGACGCAGCAGCTAATGTAGAATGGAGTACAGGAAAGCCTTGCAACAGGAGTAGTTCGGTTACGGTCAACCAACGCCCTGCCTTCCTAACCCATTCCATTGATTTGCAAGAGATGCAATACATCACCTCGGAGTCCGAGGCCCTGAACCGCTGCTCGGGGTCCTGCAAGGATGCTGAACAAGCGGGGATAGCATGGAATGAGAAAGAGGAAATGAGAAGCAGAAGGATACCATATCCGCGAGTCCTGAGTCACGTTCACGATGGAATCGCCTGGCAAATGAGGATCCTGCTCGTACTCGGACAAGAACCGCTCCTCCTCGCTGGTGAGGGCGGCTCTGTGATCGCCAGGCTGAAGTACAAACGATGGTGAACTCGAAGGCCTGAGCGACTTCCAGAGAGAGCTTGGGCGCCCTGCCGCCCATGCCACCTCAGACGCGATCTCCTCATCTGTGGCAACCATGAATATATGCCACGTGCAGTGAGGAGGCTTCTCCACCAGCCTGATGACGTTATCTAAGTTGAAGTAGGTCGATGTAATGCTCCTTCTGTGAAACAGGACTGACCAGCGGCGCTTCCTGCGAATGGGCCATCCGAACTGCGAGGGGCAAAGCACGAAAGATGTAATGACGTAGAGATCTGAAAAGACAGCCTGAAGAATACTGACATCGAACAGGTGAGAGTTCTCGTGTACCACTACGGCTGGCATCATTCGGCGTACCAAGCATACCCAGGCTACGAAACATTCAACTGCCTTGCCAGTGTCTCTGAGACGTTTGCCTAATGGCGAGAAGTCAACGCACGGCGTGCCAGCTACGTGCAGTGTCCCAGGCTTGAATTTGCACGTGCCGCCGTGCACATAGCATGTACTGGTGCTGGTCGTCGCAGTTGCACCCTTCGCCCAGAACTGCGATAATGAAGACAACGATAAGGTGCCACGGGCTCGCTCTGATTCAAGTGCCGCCAAAGCCACTGGCGTGAGAAATAATAGAATGTCGCCAAACAGACAAGATGGTGGACTAGCATGTGCACGAAGCTCCTCACGACACCCAATGTCCTTTTCAATTGCTGCGATGTGCTCGGGGTGCTTGCAAGAGCATCCAGTCAGGCGCGATATCGCAAGAGCCAACATGCACAACGCAGTCCCCGGGGCGTCAATGCCAGAGAACGCCGTACTGTACGTCACCTTTGAGAACTTATCTACCATGCTGGTCAGCATCTCGTCACCCTGGCCCTGGCGGCGCTTGCGACCCCGTCGGCGAGCCGACCCTGTTGGATTATCCACCAGCTGTCTCGCAAGTAACGATATCAGAAATGTAGGCCATTCAAATAATTGCTTCAGCACAGCATGCGAACGCTCACCATTTGGATCAGGCATGGGAATAGGATGGGCAAGCACAGGGGTGGGACCATAATCATGATCAGCGATAGCTGGATGAATAGTACTCTCGGCCTCGGCTGCATCTCCAAGAAACCTCGCAGCCCGTGATGGTGTACATGCGTGATCCGACTGATTATCCGAAAGGTCGTCTGCGATACCTTTGGGCACCACTGGAGTCCTAAGGCTGCTAAAAGGGTCATCATTGTATTGAAGTGGGCTGGCCCGCATAGCCGATGAGGATGAGGATGAGCTAATAGTAGGCTCAGGGATAACCGATTTGGATAGGATATCGTGTGAAACCGTGTCGCTGGGGTCGGGGTCATCTTGAGGAAACATATCAGGGGATTCCATACAAACGTCTGGATCGTAGGACGGCTCGAAATCGTCGAGGCTACCAAGGGCCTCGCGTATCCGAGCATCAACATCATCATGTGGTTGCGAGTCGGCCGGCACTGAAGGCGTGGCTGGTGGCGTGTCGCAGCTCGCCTCGGCCGTTGGATCATCGCCGAAGTTTGCCAGCTCTGGCAGCTGGTCCTGTGGCGCGACCAAAGGTACACTCGTCTGCTGTTGCGCTGGCGATTCTGATCCAGCAGGGCCAGCATCTGCTATCTGACCAGACGACTGAGGAGGCTGCGCAGGAAAAGCTAAACGTTGCTGCCAGCGAAAATCCATATCAGATTCTGCAAAGACAACCCACGGCGCTTTCCTCGGGAACAGAAACATACACATGAAGCATCTAGCTAACGCTGTCGCTCTCGTCGATCACTCCGTCGGCGCTGCCGCAACCGCCACCATCGTCGTCGTCTGCGTCGTCGTCGTCGAGGGTTGGTGACGCTTTGGTTCCCCAGTCGGTCGTAAGCGACTTCACTGGCACAGAGAACTTGCCGTTGCCGGCGGTCAGCTTGCTGATCGATGCAAATTTCCATAACACGACGTATGGCTCATCCGAACGTTGATTCTTCACATTGGCCACAGACAGGGCCTCACTGAACGAGGTGATGCCGTGAATAGAGACGTGGTTGTCAAAATCGTGCGCAAACAATTTCGATTGCTCAACGAATGTCGCAGATGCAAATGCCTCGATACTGTAGGGGCAACGCTTCTCGAATAAGTATGTTGAAGTGCCTTTTGCAAGAGCCCCACACCACGTCGACTGCACCAGACCACTGATGGCACCAGCAATGATATCCTATGCGGCAGAGAGACACACACACACGCGCAAACAAAGATACTCCCCCCCAACTCAGTGAAAGGTGGCCAGACGCTTTTGACAGCGACCGTCCTGCGCAGTGCTGGTCGGCACGAGAATACCCCGACATGATTTGGAAGCAGTAGATGGTGGCATTGGCACAAGAAGGAAACCCTTGACCACAAAGGCTGCAAATGCTGGACGTATGTTCCACTGTGTGACCACACCCTCCAGGCAGATGTGATGTGCTAGGCCCCGGGCGCATGTTGAACATGAAATGTATGGCATTGCGTCCACTGGCCTATGCACAAGGTGTTGGTCACGCAAGCACCAAACACCCCACGAATCCTACACGGTGAGAGCATGAACCATCAGAAGAACGTACTAGTGCCAGCGACACTAACCCTGATACTACATGTAACAGGCGACGCGAACCAATACAAACTCGTATGACGCTCACATGTACAACAAACTCTTGCACATCTACATGGTTCGGAGGTTCGCAGGGCACATCATACCCCCCTTCACACTCAACACAAACGATGTTGCATCATACCCCAACGCTTGGATCACAACACAACTGTTCAAGACCAATGTGATTGAGCGTGGCAAAGTACAACAGAATACGATGAAACTTCAAGCAACAGTCAGTATATTCCCATTCGAACGCCACACACACAACACAAAATCCATGCTGCACTTGGGCACTCTGATCAGAATCGGTGGGGCGGTCGATATGTTCTCATTGCTGCATCCACAGAATCCAACCAAAAATTCATATATTACATTGAAATGTCATTGGTGTTTCATTGCGTTGTCAGCTGTGTGTGTTTATAAATTCGATAGAAAAGCTCGTATATCTTAATGAAATCCTTATGTAGTTAGTTGATTCCCATCGATTCCCCCACATATTCTCAACAAATGTCAGTGGTTTCTGTTGCATTGTCAGTGGGATTTCATCATGTTTTTCATACATTTTCTCTTGCATATCAATGAAATCCGTATGTTTTCAATTGAGGTTTCATTGATTTCCCATCATATTTTCAATAAAAATCCATGTGTTTGTTACATTTTTTTATGAAAACTCAATGAAATCCTCATGTGTACAATGAATTTTCCATGGATTTCTCAGCATAATTCCCAGAAAAATCAATGGTGTTGCTACATTTTTATGCAAATTTTCACTAACAACTAACACGGTTTATCGTATTTTTCTATAAAAAACAATCGATATTCAATACAAAAGTGATGTCTCGAACATCGCGGACCCATGCACTCAGGCAGTG